ATCAAGGAAGGCAAGAATTTTACACTGAAGTTTTTAAAATATTGCTGAAAAAAATTAAATACGACCTAAATAAAAGGAAGAACAGTTCATATCCACAGATTGAAAGACTTAGTATTGCTAAAATACTACTCCCCAAAGTGATCTAGAGACTCAATATAGTCTCTACTAAAATCTTAGTGGCCTTTTTGGGGGGCAGAAATAGAAAAACATCCTAAAATTTAGGTGGAATCTCAAGAGACCCCCCCAAATAGGCAAAACAATCTTGAAAAACAATAAAGTTGAAAGGCTCACATTTCCTTACTTAAAAATTTGCTGCAAACCACAGTAATCAAAACACTTCCAAGACTCCAAAAAGTTCCCCCTTGTTCATTGTCAGTCAGTCCTCCCCACCACAACCCCAGGCAATCATTGGTTGGCTTTTTGTCACTATAGCTCTACCTTGTCTAGGATTTCATATTAATGCAATCATATAGTGTGTATTATGTAGAAGTCAGGCATATGATCTTCGCCTGACTTCTTTCACTTAGCATATTTTCAGAATTCTTTCATATCATTGTATATATGAGTAGCACATTTCTCTCTGTTGCCAGTACTATACTATTGTATATGTGCATCATGATTTTATCCATTCACTAGTTGATGGACATTCGAATTATTTCCAGGATTTTTTGTTTTGTTTTATTTTGTTGTAACAGTTTCATTCTACTGCATTGAGGCCTAGATTTCTTTTCATTTATCACATTTGCAAATTAATTGGAATTCTTGAATCTGTGGATTAGTGATTTTCACCAGTTATGTAAAACTATCTTTTCAGATATTACCTCTATTCTACCCTCTCCCTATTCTTCTAGAACTTCACTACTGCTTATTACACTTCCTCCTATCCTCCATGTCTTCATATCTTTCTTACATTATATCTTTTTGTCTTTCTGTATGGTATTCTTGATAATTGCTTTAATATGCTTTTTAATACAAAATGTTTTTCTTCCAGATCTGCCCCTTTTATTTCTAGGACCCTGGGTAAGAGTACAAATGGAAGGCCACATACTGTATAGATATATTTAAAAGTTAAAAATCAAGGTAAGAAAGCATAAGATAAAATAATCTTACATCTTTCTACCTTGACCAAGTCCAGGTTTAAATTTTAAATTTTGGGATATCTATAGCTCTATAATACTAGATACTCCATTGTGCAGTGGTACAGGGAGGCTGATTTCTAACTGCCAACTCCAAACCCCTCTTTTTCTACCTTCAATTCTATACTACACTGCAAGGGACATAAAGTGAACACTGTTATCTGGGTACAGCAGTGAACACCTGTAATCCCAGGTATTTGGGAGGCTGGGGTAGGAGGATTGCAAACTCTTGTAACTGCCTGAGGGCAAGAGCAGACTCCAAAGTGTAGCATCTAAGAATGGACCCTTCTTGCCTTGATCAAAGGGTTACATTGGTACCTTTAGCTATGTTAAACATATTTGTTGAGTTTTTTTTAATTTGTTGAGTTTTTAACTTGATTTTTATGTTATTAATAACTAGAAATTCTAGTTGGTATTTTTTCAAAACAGCTCTACTGATATTTTAGTTCCTCCTTTTATTTTTTAACATTGATCATACTTGTTTTATATTATGTGTCTGTTCATTCCAAAACTTAAGTCTTCATGAATTTGACTCTGTTATTTGTTGTTTGGGTTGGCTCTTGGATCTTGTTTTGGATGCCTTATTTCCTCATGTGTTTTTTTTTTTTTTTAGTTCATTTTTTTAAATTTATAAATGTTGATTTCTTCAAAGCCTGAAATAAAGATTGATTGTTCCAAAACTGATTCTTCCAAAACACATGTTTGTTTCTCCCAAGCACTGGAGGGCATGACAAGTTTACAACAACTTTAAGCCAAATTTTTCAGACTATGTTTTTAATGTACTCTCCAGGTACTGAAATTTCAAGCTGCAAATCATGTGAAGCTCCAGTTGTGATTGCCTAATTCAAATCCAACTCCAACTCTGCCAAGATTGTTGGGCAATTTTCCAAGAGGGGGATGGAGGTGCTGGTTGATTTCTTACATTAAGGATATATTAGGTTTCCTTTTAAAATCCAGTTTTGGATAGGCCTTTGGCTTTGTCTCTCATTCTCTAACCCTAATCAAGTTCACCAGTTTAGGCAAATGCCATCTGGGTTTCTGCTCCCGTGTGTGTGTGTGTGTGTGTGTGTGTGTGTGTGTGTGTGTGTGTGGTGCTGGGGATTGAGCCCAGGGCCTCTCACTCTGGGCAAGTCTCTGCAAATCTACATCCCAAATTCTTTCTGCCTTCTTTTGTCCTAAATATTCCTTAATTTCTTGCCAGCTCATTGAAGCAAGAAGGAAGGTTTTATTGAGCATTTTACTGGTTTTCAGTTATCTGCTTTGTGTGTGTGTGGGTGGGGAGTACCAGGGATTGAACTCAGGCACTTGACCACCAACTCACACCCCCAGTCCTGTTTTGGATTTTAAAAAAAAAATTTTGTAGCTGTGAAGGACAGCATGCCTTTATTTTATTTGTATGTGGTGTTGAGGAACGAACCCAGTGCCCATCTACTTGTCTCAGTTTCCACTAAGAATGCATTGGTTTATGCCCTTATGATTTCAGACTATCCAAAAGTCTTCTAACTGCATTCCATGCCCAGTCTTTACCCTTCCTCTTCTCTTCAACTCTATCTCCTCAAGCAAGTTGTATTAGTAAGGGTCTTAGCAAGAAACAGAATTCACCTGAGCTAGTTCAAATGAAAATACTTTGGTGAAAGAACCAGTTACAGAGGGGTGAGCACTAGTAAGAGAGCAAACAGGAGATGAGGCACTCAGAAACTAGTTAGAGTGTTTTGTGACTTTTTTTAATATTTATTTTTTAGTTGTAGTTGGACACAATACCTTTATTTTATTTATTTATTTTTACATGCTGCTGAGGATTAAACCCAGGGCCTTGCATGTGCTAGGCGAGGGCTCTACCGATGAGCCACAACCCCAGCCTGTGACTTTTTTTAGTTATTTTCTTTCTTTCTTTTTCTTCTTCTTTTTTTTTTCTTTGTTTAAAGAGACAAAAGGAGAAAATAATTACTGGACACCAGGGAAAACTAGATGGAAGAAGTCACACCTGATACAGGCATGAAGCGATGAATTCATTACAGGAAATGTGACATTAAAGGAGGAAGCAAGTAGGGAAGAAGTGTCCCAACTTCACTTTCTACCTGCCTTCTGATATACTCTTCTAGGTCTGTCTCAATTCAAATCTAACCACAAGTTGGTCCTTAAAGAAGCCAAGGTCAACCTCCAGAATCATAGATGTTGGCAAAGAAGGGCAGACAAAGAATTTAGGGGACAAAGAGAAAATAACCTGTACATCAGTCTTTCTCTAGGCCACTTTGAAAGAACTATCTAAAATACAAACTTTATCATACCATCTTTTTACTTAAAATTTGTCAGTGGATTCACATCTTTTGTACAGCTAAATCTAAACTGGGATATGTGACTTCACCCTTGATTATGACTTCATTCCCAGTTCTTGTGTAGGCTACAGTTTTTTAAAATTATTTCCAGATTCTACCCTATTGTATTCTCTCATATGTCTGTATTTTGAGCATACTCTTTCTTCTTTAAGGTTTTGTTCTGCATCATCTTTGATTAACTTCTACTCAACTTGAAGACATCTTGGAATCATCTTCTAAAAAAGTTTTCCTTCCCACCGTGTTTCTATAACTTCTATACTTACGTTCATCAAAATACTTAGTTGACCTGAGATCTCTGCCTTTCTCCATTGAAAAGATAGATGTGTGTTTTATTTCTTATATACATGACACTTAGCACCATTACTGGCACATGGTGGGCAATTAATAACATTTTTGTCAAATGAATAAATGAAAACTAAATATTAAGAAAAAGCAAGATAATGTTTGTATATTTCTAAATCTTTTTGAAATTTTAAGTTATGAGGAAAAAATCTTCAAATTTGAAGTTTTCTTTTCCAAATTAATTTCTGAGACATTTATATTGTATATAGGCATAGAAAGAAAAGGAAAGATGATAAGCCCACAGACTGAGAATCTGAATCCCAAAGATCAGTCCTAAACTTCAATAATGTGCTCCTTATCAGTTTTTTATAACATAGGAAAGATATTGTGTTGATGTTAGCTCTAATTCTTGACAAATACTACTCTAAATAATTTAAATATATTAAAAAATATGTATCAACCCATAAATTTCTGGTAAATGATATATAAGTTATCTAACAATTATTTGTATATTATATATTTATATATTAAAACATCAAACGATTGTGGAAACCATTCTTGCTTGGTTAAGATTCCAATAGTACAAAATGTTTTCTTATCAAAAATTTTGTTCCCTACGACACTGGGAACAAAATACCAGATTTTTCCCCAGATGCCACGCGAAGCCTCGATAAAGCCTCCCCTCCCCCCGCCCTAGAATTTTTACCTATGGATTATATATCTATATCTATATATCTATCCTAAAAATGTTCTTCACTCTAAAATTCTGCCAATGTTGGGCCAAAAATCTCTCCCCCTCCCCCGGGTGCAGGTTCTCACACATGCTAGACGAAAGATCTCATATTGTAACACGTACAGCATTGGGAGCATTGCCCAGCGGACATTGCTCATTAAAGAGAGGGGCTATAAGCATTTCACTGGGATTTTGAACCCTCCAAGAGGGAAAACGAAAAGTCTATGACACATACTACGGATCCCAGCATACCCTGCGGTGACCAGTGACCACAACTCCCGGGATGCATTGCTCGCCGCATGCAGGTTTCTCTGGTCCTTGGGACTTGTAGTTCTCCCAGATAGTGTCAACTTGATCGGGGAGGGCTGTGGTTGCGTGCTCAGCCTCAGGATAGTAAGGGTAACTTCCCAGCTTTTGGTGACAGCCTAACACTTCGGGGCCCTGGGCCGGTTGGATTCTTTGTTTCGTCTCTCGGCTTTAGCTTAACATAGGGTAAGTCACGGAGGGGCTACAATTACCCACTGCAGGGCTCCATCCTTTATTTCTGAGAGCGACCTCGTTCTGGCGGAGCCATTTATTTGTCCCTTAGCTCTCGCCGTAGCAGCCGCCGCCCATCCCTCTTTGTGTGCACTGGGAAGCCGCCCGAGCTTGTGGTGGCTACAGTTGGCGTTGGGGCTTAGACTAGGGACGTTCCCGGGAAGTTGTAGAAGGGACGACTCTTCCCCATCCCGCCACCTGACAGGTGAGTTGATGGTTCTTTCCTCAAGGCCCGTGTGCCTGCTGTGTCCCAAGTCTGAACTCGCCAGGTGGCTTAGCAGTTCCTGCTGACAGCACCGGCCCGGCTTCTGGGAGGAAAGGCCGGGGAAACGCGGGCCGTGACTCAGGCGGTCTGGGGAGAGGAGTCAGCTCTTTTCTCTTTTTGACCCTCCTGGGGCATCTCGGGGCGCTTTGAGCTTGTCTGGCGCCCCCTGGCCCTTCCCTGGACGCCCTAGTCTGGACCGCGCCCTCTTGGCCGTAAGCCCAGGAGGAAGGGAATTCCTTTTCGCCTTGCTCCATTTTACGAATAAAGGTCGTTGCTGCTTGCTTGCATAGCGTTTCTATTCACCTTGTATATGTTGGAAAGTCGCTGAACGCAGAGGGTTGTAGCACAAAATTCTAGAGACACTCTTTTCCCTTAGAGTTTTAAGAAAATGAAACGTGTCTGTCATGGAGCAGAGGCTCTGGGCTCTCTGAGGATGGGAGGGCCGGTCCGCTGTGGCTCAGCCTGACAAACTCTTAGTGTTTGATCAAAAATGCACTTACTTCAACATGCATATTTGTATTGGCATCTCGTTGACGCTGAGCAAAAATAATTAACAAAAAATTAGGCGTCGTGCCTGGCATACAGAGTTATGTATGGAATTTCTCTCCAGCTTAAAAGATGAAGCTTTTTATCAGTCCAGAAAAGGAGGAAGATCCACAGGTCTCTTGTGGGCCATTCGTTTTAGTTTGTTTGAATGAATCATGGTTAATATTACATGCGTATTTAAGGGTCTACTGTGTCAACTTTTCACCGTTTTTATATACTTGAAAATTCATCTCTCTTTTGTGGTCTTTTGAAATTTCCTTGATGCATTTATTACTAGAGGGAATTGCGCCTTAACCAACTTAACCTTTATTCAGATTTAATAACTGTTTTTTAAGAGATTCCTCCTAAATAGTTTTCCAGAGGTTATTCTTCCACTTTTCTTGATCTTAAAGCATTTAAGATTTCAGTTATACAGAGACATTGACAGCTTGATCATTATGTTAAATCAGTAATATAGAGAAGGCAACAAGTTCCTGGCCTCTACCTTAGCTCAGCCCCTAGGTTACTTTTTTGCAGTTCAGAAAAATTCTAATCATGCTTCCTAAAACTGAAGGCCAAGTAGTGCACATGTAATTTTTTGAAGATATTTGTAACTCTATCTTTCCTATTACTCATTTATCCAGTGTCGATTTAATGTTAAAGTCACTCTGCTGGAAGCTGTGAAGATATCAAAAATGACTAAAACACAGTCTCTGATTTCAAATACCTTACACTCTAATATGGAGCATTTTAGGTGTGTTCACAGATAATTGTTCTAAAAGTGCCATATGATATGTAGAGAGATTTGATTTGATAATGCTGGTAGCTTGTGTTTTGTTTGTCTTTAATAGTACTGCTTTTAGAATTTATAGGAATCTCCTGTTTTCCCTTCATTGTTTCTAGGAACAAAAGCAAGACTTATAGTTTTCATCCATGTTATACAGCTTAAGATCCTCTCTACCTCTTAATGCCATCCCACAATGTCTGTTCTAAGTGCTAATTTTGACCTTTATCTCCAGTGACTTAATATATTGTCATCAAAAAACAAGACAATGTGTTAAATTTGGGAACATGAAACTTAAGGCATTTACTATGTGCCAGCTATTGTGCTCAGCCCAGGGTAGTATCTCTTACATACATGTGTTTATAATTTTTCTCAAGTCTTAGTATAAAGTATGCTGCTTTTACCAAGGTAATGATTATTGTAAATAATTGTATGCTTCTTAAGGTCACAAACATGTCGGACAAAAGTGAATTAAAGGCTGAATTGGAACGTAAGAAACAGCGATTGGCCCAAATCAGAGAGGAAAAGAAGAGAAAAGAAGAAGAAAGGAAAAAAAAAGAAGTATGTTTGACTTGGGGGGGGCGAATAATCTCAGTGTAAAATAATTGGATTTTATTTCAAGTACTTTTACCTTTAATAATTTCAAAATAGTTAAAAATCTAGGAGTTGTGATGGCAAATATAGCACTACAAGTAAATCTTACTTTAAAGTAATCTTACTTTTAAAAAAGCCAGATTTATGAAAATGGCAAAACTGATAAAATGTAGGTTTGGGGTTATTTTTACTGAATAAAAGTAATATAGATGGATACATTTATAAGATTCAATTTATAGAAGTTCATCTTATATATGTGGTCTTTAAGGAAGGTATTTGTTACACAAAGTAAGGGGCATCTGCATTGTATTAGACATAGGGCATATATACCACAATTGTAATTTGAACTTTGAGCTTATTTATCTGTATATTTTGCTGGTCTAATATGCCAGTAATTTTGTCAGAATTTATAATATTAATGACAAATATATATGTGTGTGTGTGTATAGTAGATAGCTTACTTGATTATGTGTGTGTGTGTATAGTAGATAGCTTAATTGATTATAAAATTTGTACTTGTCTCTTTTAAAAGAGTTAATCGTTGAAATATATTTACTGAGTAGTAGGTTTGATAGTGCCAAAAAGGTAAACCAAATACTTTGGTCTTACAATTTTTGGTATCATCTATTTCATCATATATGCATATACATTGTCCTTGAACTGCAAATATTTTACTTATTCCTGTGTTTAAGCACACATTTATCCATTTGGAAACTCTTTAGACATATTTATATACTTTCAAAACATGGATATGTTTTAAATGGCTAGTGTAAGATAGTTTGTGCTAAATATGCCTTTAGTATCTAGTTTGTTTTTTTTTTTTTTTTTAGAAAGAGAGTATTTTTTAATATTTATTTTTTTAGTTTTTGGCGGACACAACATCTTTGTTTGTATGTGGTGCTGAGGATCAAACCCAGGCCACATGCATGCCAGGCAAGCGTGCTACCACTTGAGCCACATCCCCAGCCCCAAGTATCTAGTTTTTATATGTAATAGTCTAAGTAATAGCCAAGGCTTGTAGAAATTGCTTAAGAAAAAAAATCAGTTGGAAAATATCAAAGTTGTGGCATTGCTATGATTCTGTAAAGATCTATAATTGAAGAATTTGCTAGTTTATGCTGAACCTTTCTATCAAACACTGTTCTAAGAAGATTGGAGCTTTATATTAGATATATCATTAAAAATTAACTGATAGACCCAGGTGTGATAGTGCATGCCTTGAAATCTCTTGGGAGGGAGCAACTTGGGAGGCTCAAGCAGAAGGATCGAAAGTTCAAGGCCAACCTCACCAATTTAGTGAAACTGTGTCTCAGAATTAAAAATTAAGAAGGATTAGGGATATATATAGCTCAGTAGTAGAGTACCCCAGGTTCAGTCCCCAATACAAACAAACAAACAAAAAACATGCTAACTGGTAGAAGCATGATTAATATCGATAGAGCCATTCCAAATACTGTCTGTGGCTTTAAACTCTCTCCAATGCTGAACACAAATTCAATTTTTGTTTTCTAAGTTGGGCCATAAGCAGCCTCTAAGGGATTTCTACTACATGATATCTAATTTAAAGTTTATATAAAACATTACAAGAGATAATAGTAATAAACAGTCTAGTAGATTATAAACAGGAAAGTTTTAGCATAGTCTATTTTGCTATCTTGATTGAATAATCTGATGACTTTAAGTTAAAATATTATAGAATATTATGATGAACAAAATTTGCTCACTGTATGAGTAGTAGTTGTCTAGTTGACATCATTTGAGACATATATATATGTATATGTTATGTAAATTTTACTTTGAAAGCTTGAATTGTACATATGATATTTTGTGTGATCTGAGAATGTTAAAGTTTATTCAATTTAACTAGATTTTACTAAAACCATAAATAACTGAAATTTAATGGGCAAAACTTTTCATAACAAAAAAATTTTTTATGTGCACAAAGTAATACTTAATTTTATCTAAATCCAAAATTGTGTTTATATTATTAAAATAAAACCTGAAATCTGGGCAGAGTGACATTTGCCTATAGTTCCAGCCCTTCACGGGGCTGAGGCAGAAGAGTTGTTTGAGCCCCAAAATTTAAGGCCAGTCTGGCAACTTACAAACTGGTCCTGTCTCTTAAATTAAAAAAGAAATAAAATAAGCCATGTAGTTTAAAAAATAAAAACTTTCTCTTGACAAATTTTTAATAAATGTTCTCTATGTAAAGTTGCATAAAAACGATGAAGATTTTATACAGACAAGTTTGAAATAGTCATACTTTTTCAACAAATCAAATTGTTTATTCACTTAAAATTTCTTTTAAAATTAGGAATTTTAAGTTAATTTACTAACATATGCCAATTTCATCTAATTTTTTTTCAATGTTATGACATGGCTAAGCTTTTATTCTACTCTGGGGGGAGATTTCCATGATTCCTGTCCATGGTCACCGATTTTATATTCGAAGTTGACTGTACTTTTTGAACTTATTTATCAGGGAAGGTTTTGTAAAAATTCCTTGATTTCATATAAACATGGCTCAATTCAGTACATAGTATTTGGAAAGTATTTACTAGAACTCCTGAGAATGACTGTCTCATAAAAATATACAGTGTTAGCACTTTATTTAAAAAATATGTTTTTTTGCACATAGAAATATTTCCGACCATATTCAAACTTGAATTTAAAAATTTTTTAATTATTTATTTTATACATCACAATAGAGGAGTGCATTACATTCATAATTTTTTTGCATTGCAGTTCTTAATACACCTTTATATCACAATTTATCAAACTTGAATTTTTAACTTAACATTTTTAGACTGATCAGAAAAAGGAAGCTGTTGCTCCTGTGCAAGAAGAATCAGATCTTGAAAAGAAAAGAAGAGAAGCTGAAGCATTGCTTCAAAGCATGGGGCTAACTACAGAACCCCCCATTGGTAAGAATAAGAATATATCCATTTATGAGAGATAAGCATATAGTCTGTTCAGCTGAGACATAGCAAGATAAGTGATTTAACTTGATATATTTTGCATATTTTTCTTATTTGTATCTCAATCATTAATCTTATTTATTTGGAATTGCCTTTTTTCAGATGTGCTAGTACATGGTTATTTTATTTCAAAAGACTTGCAAGATTAACTATATTTATTAACATATACCAAACTACCAATTGACTCTTCTTAATTAATGAGTAATTTATTTCAGCATATATTTTGTTGAACAAGTTTTGTGTGCCATACTATGACTGTTTCACTGTAATTGTATTCTTTTCTATAGGTTAGGTAAATTGGGGAGATAAAATCAGTAGCTTATTTTGGCAGATTTGAATTGTTCTTTTTCTGGGTTATTCATTTTAATACCTATGCTAAACGAAGATGCTGAAATAGTAGAGATACTAAGGACAATCTAGGTTACATATCCTAAAACATTTAATGCTTACTTAGAAGAGGCCTGTGCTGGGTGCTATTATATAGTATGTAGTTTAGTTTAACATGGCCTTGGTCCTTTGGGGACTGAAAATTTCAGGGTTAGTTTCATCTAGTCCAGGGGACAAATGCTAGAGACAGTAACTGTTAAATGCTTTTTGTGAGATTGCAACACAACTGTCTTTAAATCTGATGTTTCTAAAAATTTTCAGGATGGAAAAAGTCAATTGCTTTCATGGTCTGCTTTGTTATTACTTCTTTTTTATTTTAATATATTTTTAGTTGAAGATGGACACAATACCTTTATTTCTTTTCATGTGGTGCTGAGGATTGAATTCAGTGCTCACACATGCTAGACAAGCACTCTACCACTGAGCTACAACCCCAGCCCTTGTTATTATTTCTTAAGCTCATTTTCCTTTTCCTTATTGGTAGAACTTGAAGACTGATTTTTTTTCAGTGTTATGACATATCTTAGCATATTGATATTGATTTTTATGTCTGTATGAAGCTTATTTGCATATTGGTTGTTTTGTTTTGTTTTTTAGGTGGTAGTGTTGGGGTCCAAAACCAGGGACTCAAGTGTGCTATGCAAGCATTCTATCATGTACCCCTAGCTCAATATATTTCATTTTTAAAAGTAAATAAATTAGAACACTTTTTTTTTTTACCCAAATAACTGAACCACATTGCTTGTTATTTGTTAGATGTATAGTCCTTGAATGTTCTCTTTCTTTGTGTGCCATTAGCATTTATTTATTTATATTTGATACAGGGTCTCACAGTGTTACTCAGGCTGGCCTTGAACTTGCAATCCTCCTGCCTCAGCTTCCCAAGTCTCTGGGATTATAGGCAGGTTACAGCATCTAGCATACCCCACTGGCTTTTGTTTTCTTCTGTAAGAATTTTTAAAAATATATTTTTAGTTGTAATGAATATACTATCTTTATTTTATTTATTCATTTTTTTAATGTGGTGCTAAGAATCAAACTCAGTGCCTTACGCATGCTAGGCAAGTGTTCTATCACTGAGCTACAACCCCAGCCTGGGGTTTTTTTTTCCTTTTCTGTTCGGTTTTACTGAATTCACTTATTTGTGTTTTCAAGACTCACCTCTATACATTGATTTTTAAAAGATCATTGTTTAGGGATGTTTGTATGTTTTTTTTTTCATTGTTTTACCCCATCTCCAGTTCCCTTCTTCATATTGGTGCATCAATTACACACTTCTGCATTTTTAACATACTTTTACACACTGCCTTTTTTCTGTCCTTTGTGTATTCACATTTTTCAAGGGGTTTTGCATATCCACATGTAAAACATAGGTTTAATATACATAAGAGCATTATGCTATATGTCTCATTCTATTTATTCCATGTTGCTACATACATATCTAGTTAGTAATTTCTGACTGATATAGAGTATTCCATTGTGTACCATATTTTTGTTAACCGGTTCCCTCAGAACTATACACTCAGATTGCTTCTCTCTTTTTTGCTACCATAATCCACACTGCAAAGAATATATTCTTTTCCCTTGAGGACTAGAAGAGTTTCTTTGGGGTATATGGCCAAGAATTGACTTGCCATGTTATTGTATATAGGCTTATTTAGGTTCTGTGTATCACTCTTAAGAATAGCTACAGAAGTTTATCTGCTTTCTAATTTTTGCCAACTTGATGGATATAAAGAGATATTCCCAAAATGTCTTAATATTTGTTTATTTGATTACAATGAAGTTGACCATCTTCATATATCAGTCATTCAGATTTTCCTTTCTGCAATTACATATTTGTATCCTTTGGTTAGCTTATTGTTTAGGTTTTCTTTATCTTCTTTTTTTTTTTTTTTTTGGTGAGTGTGTGGTATTGAGAATTGTATCCAGGGCCTCAAGCATACTAGGCAGGTGCTCAACCACCGAACTACTTTCCCAGCTTTGAGGTTCTTCATCTTATGATTTGTAGAGTCCTTGTATATTTTAAGGATATCACACCAGCATATTTGTCAATTATTGAACTATTAATGACACTAAAATTGAATATTCATAGGATTGTGATAACCAGGTCTTTCCATCATGGTTACTCCTTTTGACTAATAGGTAATATCTGGAGGTGATTCTTTGTCACAATGTGGATATTAATTTTACCATTAGTTTTTTTAATCTAATACTATAAATACTTGATCTTATCTAAGTTATTTAAGAGTTGCAAAATTGTTTTGTAATTCTACCATTCCCTCTGCACATACTAACTTAAGTTCTTCTGGAAAGGGAAGATTTTCCTCAACAACTAGACCTGTTTGGTTACCCTAAGAACACTGCCAATAGAAAAATAGGCAAGTTATTTCAGTTTAATTATACTATTCTTTCATTACTTGCCCTTATAAGTCACAAAGCACCACTTCATCTTTACATTGGAAGAGAATCACTAAGTCCAGCTCACATTCTTGAAAGAATTTGTGGGCATTCTTAAAACCACCAAAATATTTACAACAAATTCATAGGTTTCTTCATATTTTGAGATGATCACATTTTTTTTCCTTTTAGTGTATTAGTGTGGTTAACATTGATAGTTTTTTCTTAATGTAAAAGCATTATAATCTGGAAAAAAACCAACATTGTTATGAGATATATTTCTTGTGTATGTTGCATTTTTGTTTGATACTATTTAGGAATTCTTCATCAATATTCAAGAGAAACAGTCTTCTTTAACTTTTTTCCTTTTAATGTATTTTGCCTGGATCATTAAATGAGTTATATAGTTTTTCTTTCTTCTTTTCTCTGGAACGGTGGTATAATTTTGAAATTATTTACTGAATATTTGTTAGGAATTTCCCATAAGATTATTTGTGTTCTTTTATCAGTTTTGTCATTCATTTCTCATAGGAAATAATTCAGTATTCAGTTTTATTGACATACAGGTATATATGATTTCTTCATAATTTTGAACAGGTACCGAATATTGAACTCAGGAGCACTCGGCCACTGAGCCACATCTCTAGCCCTGTTTTGTATTTATTTAGAGACAGGGTTTCATTGAGTTGCTTAGCACTTCCCTGTTGCTGAGTCTTGCTTTGAACTCAAAATTCTCCTGTCTCAGCCTCTCGAGCTGCTGGGATTACAGGCATGTGCCACCACGCCCAGATCTTCATAACTTTTTATTCTTATTATACCTAGAATTATTTTTTTTTAAGAGTTTGCTAACCTTCTTTTCTTCTTTTCCTGTGCTCAAATCCAGAGCCTCCCACATGCTAGGCAAATACTTACCGCTGAGCCTCTGCTCTTTATATTTTCTTGCAAAAGGTTTGTCTTTTTACCTTTTGTCAAATAACTGGCACTTTCATTTTTCTTTGATTTTTTTTTTTTTTTTTTTTTTTTTTTTTGGTGGTGCTGGGGATTGAACCCAGGGCCTTGTGCATGTGAGGCAAGCACTTACCAACTAAGCCATATCCCCAGCCTACACTTTCATTTTTCTTACAAAATTTTCTTACCACATGTCTTGTTCCCAAGCTCTTCTATTCATGTACCAAATATTCTAAGTGATCTGTGAGGGTATAACTCAGATCACATTTTTACAATCCAGTCAGAAGACAAACAAAATTTTAAAAATTGATATAGACCACATTTGATAGAATTTGGAGGCAGTGGTATTTAAGTTGCATGTTAAATCTCCATTTTTGCTGAAAGACAGATGAACCTTAAGTATAATTGGCTTTTTGCATATTTTTTTTTTGTTCTGTGTTTTTTTAATCCTTACGGTAAAACTCATATTTCTTATCCTGATAGTAAATATGCTATTCAAACCCAGGAAGAAACTGTAAAAATAGTTAAGCTTATTTATTTTTTTAAAAATATTTATTTATTTACTTAGTTTTAGGTAGACACAACATCTTCATTTTATTTTTATGTGATGCTGAGGATTGAACCCAGTGCCTTACACATGCTAGGTGAGTGCTCTACCTCTAAGCCACAACCACAGCCCTAAGCTTTTTTTAAAATGTTGAAATCTCATAGAATATCCTAAAAATGTATGTCTTTGGATTGATAAGTGAATGTTATTTGTGAAGTATGATTTTTTGGTGCCCATATCTATAGGATTTCAACATATACTAATGGTAAAGGAGAACCTTTCAGGCAGAAGAAATGTAAGGAAAAACATGAAAATTGAAAAGATTAAAGTGTACTGAGAAATACCAATTTATTCACTTTGCCTGGCTGGCAGAGTAGAAGAAAATAAGGGAAGTGAAGGGTGAAGTTAGACTTGGAAGGAACTGTTGGGAGGTCACACAGAAATTTTCCAGCTAGGAAAGGGATGTGATCAGATTTCATTTTATCAATCATAAAGTTTTTTAGGTGGATATGGTGGTACCTGTATTCCCATTATAGGCTAAGGCAGGAGGAAATCAAGTTTGAGGCCAGCCTCAGCAGCTTAGAAAAAACTTTGTCTAAAAATAAAAAAGAGCTGAGGATGTGGTGCAGTACAGGGTTCAATCCCTAGTACTCTCTCCCCATAA